TTTTTGTTTCATTTATTCTATTTTCCCCCATTAAATAGATATACCAGATAGGGTGAGAAAGAATCTTGCTATCTTACACCATTTTGACATTATGTGGTACTTATAAACCAATATATTTTATCACTTCTCAAATGCACCCACTCAAATGACTAATTAAGCCTAGGTCGTTTGCAGTCAAGGCACAGTAATTAAGATTTGCTACTTAGCAATTTGCGGTCCATAAAAACAAAACTAACCTTACTCAACATTCCTTTATGGTATAATTGCCATTAAAAAAGAACACTAACTTTACAGCAAACAAATTTCTATTTCTATTTTTTAATCTGTCTGGGCCAATGACAAACAAGGATAAAGTGATATAAAAAACTTAGTTGTTTATGTAATAAATTTTGGTACAAATAAATAAAACTCAATAAAATTTATTATTTTATCTTTGAATAAAGCTTCTTGCATTAATTTACGATATAAATCACTCTTATTTAGTTATCTCTTGGTAAAGGATACCCATACTCGATTTTCTCTTGATTCTAAAAACAAAAATGTTTAGTTATCATAAAATAATTGGTAAAATTTTCTTAAATACCGGAAATGTGCAATCTTCATACGAAACCAACGATAACTTAACGTCTCCTTTTAATTCGACCAATTTTACGTGGGTAAACGGAATCACGTGGAAAAAATCCGAAATTTGTTCGCCATTTAAAGCTACCTATTAAAATAAAAAATTATAACATATGCAAAATGTATACCAAAAATTTTACCTTAAATTTTGTGACCTCACATTGTACAATAATCTCGAACTTTTCCCCTTGGATAACGTTTACATCATCAACTCGCGTTTCTTGTAACCACCCCTTTTCGGGTACGTAACATTTTGAAACGAAAAATGAATGTTTATCGAATGAAAATGTTGTTGAAAGAGCGCAACCCGATTTATCAATGTTAGAATCGCATTGGAAACTAATTTCAAATCTAAAATTTTATTTAAAAACATTATTTTTTAATGTTTATTAATTAAAGTATAAAACCTTGTTCCGTTTCGATTTGCCACACCCTGCAAACGAATTAAACATCCGGGCGAAAAAGTTTTTAATAAAGGCCAGCTATAATATGTATCCTCCTAAAATGTCTTTTTATAAAACTCATTTTTTATTACAATTTAAAAATAACTTACCATTTTGAAATATTTATAAATACTTAACTGTTCTGTATTAATTTCAAATTAATATCGAGTGAAGTGAAATTGGAATCGAAATTCGACGTGTTTTTGATAAAATGAAACATCCTTAAATACTTTAATTCCTTACAAGATTTAGATTTATCGTTATCATTCTGAAACGTATCAAAAATTAAAGTGTTTAGATTTTTCTTTCAAAGTAATCAAATTATACTTTAAAAAAGGATATATATGTATAACATTTTACTTCTTGAAAACAGTATGCAAACATGAATGGTAGTACAAATTTAAAATATTTTTGATGATTTTGAAAAGAATAAGGAGTTTTGAGTAAAAATAACGCATATATTTATTTATTTTTTATTATTGGTTAAAAATCAAAAACAAAGAAAACAACAATTTTAGTTTAATCTTTACAGCAATATGTATTTTTGTATATATATACAACAGAGCTCTACGGTGGCTTCTTTTTGGGCGTTACACCGTTTTATTTTATTTTATTTTATCTCATTTTTTTCTTTAATTATTTCCATAACAAGAATACATCGCGATCGGGAAACGCACCGATATTTTTTCTTACTTTTTAATATTTTCACCATCCCTCATTTTAAATCTCATTAATAATAATTGTTTTTTCTTTTTATTAATTTAAATATATTTTACAGTTACGTATTAACATTATATGCATTCACATAGAATAACTTACAATGTAAATAACCGTGTGATAGCATCATTTTTTTTTTAATAGGACAACCACATTTTACGCTCCACACACGTTTTCTTTCAATTTTTACATTATTTTTTTTTCTTTTTGGTCAATTAGTTATTTTATTTATTATTTTAATTATTATAAATTTTTTTTTTCGAAATTTTTATATACTAATATATTTTATCTTTTTTTTCGTCGTGAAAAGATTTTTATAAAATTAAAAAAGGACAATTACAATATTATTATTTTTTTTTGTGTTTCGTGTGTGTTTTATGTGTATTTTTTTATGTGTAAAGTGTTTCATTTTTTTTAATGTGTATTTATATGTGATTTTTTACTTATAATTATTTTTTTCAAATTAAAAACGAAGTACACAAAAACAGGATCTTTGTTAATTAATTTTAATTATATTTTAAGATTAATTTGTAATGGTAAACTCATAATAATCATATAATACGATGATACGTGATTATTTTTATGTGGTTTTTTTGATGAGATGATAGATACAAGAATTTTTTTAATGCGCAGCAGAACGAATTATATTAGCACCTTAAAAACGATATGATTATAAGTAATTTTTTTATAAAACCATACTGATTTTATTTTTTTTTCTAACACAAGATTATATTTAAAAAAAATCAGTATCGTTTTAAGTAATTTGAAATGGGCGAAAGTGGAAGAACATGATTGATACACCTTTAAAGTATTTTGTTATTACCAATTAAAAATTAAGTTCTTATTAAGTTATCAATAATAATATTAATTTTTTTTTTGGTATTGTCTTTGAAGATGAATTTTATTTAAATTTTCTTTAATTTTTATTTAAATAGAATGATTTTTTAATATCTTTTTTAATTCTAAATAAAATCTTGAAAAAACGACTACAATTAATAAAAATTCTAGTTTTATTTTTAATTATTCTTTAAACCCAATTTTTGCCCATCATATTTTTTTATTCGCGATTTATTTTTTATTTTTAAAGAGTTCAATGCGATGCGAATGCACACTGTATCTTGAATATCACAGTGAAGATTTTTTCTTTTAATTATTATACACATTTTTATTTTTTATTCTTTTTACGATTATTAAGTAACATTTTTGTCGGTTATTTATTAACTTCCATCGGAACGAAAAAGATTATAAAACGAGTAAAAAGAGAAAAGTGAACTTTTTCGGAAAAAGGTAGAGAAGGTTTTTAGAAGATCTTTTTTACATATATTTAGTAGAAGAAGCGAATTGCGGCTTTTAGTTTTCGATTATATATAAATATTTAACTACGGATTTTTCTTCTGTTTTTATTTTTGCTCGGAAAGAAGAATGAGTAAATATTATTCTTATGTAATAAGGCTTTTTTACTTCATTAAGATTTTAAAATCCCCAATTTTAATTTTAAAATTAATTAATTTTGCTTTGTGCATTTTCTTCATCTATCTTTTTAATAATCCAAAATCAACTCTAACATTAATTAATTATTTTTATTAAATTAAATAAAAAATAATTCAAAATAAAAAGATATTCTCGGGGATTTCCCTCTTTAATTTTCATTAAATTTGTTGTGGTCGGGTTATTATTATTTCTTTTGCGGGGGACGGTTATAATCTCAAAAAACGTGGCCGGTTTTTTCATCTCCTCATTTTTCCAACTACAATTTCTTCTTCACTGGTTCGGTGGAAGATTTTCTTGCCGTATTTCCGATTTAAGCTTAACAAATTCTTTGGCCACGTCATCGTTTGCTCGTTGCGAAAGAATCCGCAAAACCGTCCATCCCGTTTCATCGATGTGGATGCGTTTCGCTAACGATAACCAACAAGCAATTGAACCCTAAAAAATTCCAATTATAATCGCATTGCATCATCGTTACACTAACATCCTTACCCGAGCGACAATATCTTTTAATTGCATGACGGCCACACCGACCAAACGATCCTCCCGAGCAAAGCAGTAATCTTTGACACAAATGTGAAGTTCGTACCTGCTGAGCGCTTCTTCAGTGGTTGGTGGCCTAAAAAAGAAAATACCAAAACATTTTTTTAATCAAATTTATTAGAAGAACGAAATTAATTTATAAAAAAAAATAACTACTACGTTTTAAAATCCCCTTTTTTTCTTTCTGTTTATGAGTCCATCTTGGGAGTCTTCGTTTCTTGTAATAATCGATTCGGTATCGATCGTTTTTCGCCCCAAAATTTTTTCTTTTATCAATCAAATAATTTCGTTTCATTTTAAACATACTGTTACGGCCGATTTTATCACTTTTATCACTTATTTCACACAAAGACACTTCACTGGACGATGATTTATCACGGTAGGAACAATAACTCTTCGATTTCGACGAGTTGACATTTTTTTTCGATGAACTTTGATTACTTTTATTTGACAAACAACTTTTAGATCTCGAAAACAACAGTCTCCGTTTCTTTCTCACTTTCGACCGATGCCGAGTAAAGCTCCATTTTCTTGCCGGAGTTTTTTTCACGTCTAAATAACCAGTTCGTACGTTGCTATTGAGCTTCTTCAAACGTTTCAATTGATTTGTAACCGAGGACTCGCGGCTTCTGTCGTTGTCTTGCCATAAAGTGATCAGCTTTTTCCACGCGTGTTGTAAATCCACGGATTTACTGCCCATTGATTTTCTTTAAGTTCTTATTCGAAATTTTTTTTTTCGATTTTCAAAATCCGGTTGATGATGTTGACCAAAAATTTTGTGTGATGTTGTCAGGACTGACATTAAAAGTGAGGTTGTCAAAAGTGAGACTAATATTTTAGTAACTAAGGTAGATATCAAACAAAGTTAAAAGAATTGATTTTAAGTTAAGCTGTGTCATGTGGTTACAAAATTTCCAAGATAACATAAGAATTTCCAATGATATTCAGAGATTACTGAGAATATCTAGGAGTTTCTAAGTAATTCAACACATTACTACTCGATTTACAACACTAGTGGATTCCTGAAAATCCAGATTTTTAGGAATTTTTACCTAGTCCAACCCAAAGAATTTTGAATAATATCTAACTCATATCCGAGGTTGCCCAGAGTTATTTAAAGATTTTTTAAGCATTTTGAGAGATATTTAGAGAATTTCTAAGGATTTCCAATGATATACAGAGATTACTGAGAATATCTAGGAGTTTCTAAGTAATTCAACACTTTACTACTCGATTTACAACACTAGTGGATTCCTGAAAATCCAGATTTTTAGGAATTTTTACCTAGTCCAACCCAAAGAATTTTGAATAATATCTAACTCATATCTGAGGTTGTCCAGAGTTATTTAAAGATTTTTTAAGCATTTTGAGAGATATTTAGAGAATTTCTAAGGATTTCCAATGATATACAGAGATTACTGAGAATATCTAGGAGTTTCTAAGTTAATCAATAGACTTGTAAATATTTTAAGGGACTTATTACGAATTAAAATTCAAAAATTTTCAAAGAATTTTAATGCTTTTCCTATTTTTAAGAATTTTTAGAAAACAAAAAATTTGGATTCATATCTACCGAAAGTTGGGAAATAATTTATATCAAAAATAAGTTACAAAATTATATTTCTTATTACAGTATTATAATAAATAAAAAAAGTTATTTTCCAAGAACAATTTTTATCGATAAATTTTAAAGTATACGACAAATCTTTACTTTCTTTTCCGATTTTTCGCAACTTTCTTCCTTTTATTTCCTATCCGAGTTTTCGTCCGAAGATATTTCGAGTAAGTTCGTCTTAGTTTCGACCATTTCTCTCTAGGATTTTTTCGCATCGCCGGTTTAATTTGCCACTTTTTTATTCTTCTTCTGGGTGTTTTGGATATAGAACGTCGAATATGTCCAAGCGAAAACTTGCTGATTCTCTGCGTTAACGGCGTTTGTTTAAAACTATATTTTGGAGCTTTATTTGAATGTAAAGCCGTTTGCGTTTCGATTCCTCGTAAAATCCTACTTGAATCTTTTGCGGCTAACGAAGTGTGGCTAAAAACTGGGTTGGCTAAATACGAACTAGAAGATAATAAGTATTGCGAGGAACTATTATGCGTCTGTTTTAATTTTTTTTCTTTGATATTTCGAAGTCTTTCTTTATGTGATCTGTGTTTATGACTTTTCCTGGTGTGGGTTGTTCTATCGTCGCAATAAGATACATCTTTTAAGTTGTGGAGTAATTTTGTGATTTTCTCATTTAATTTTGATAAATTACCTAGTTTTCTTTTTATCGAACCTTCGCGATTTCTTCGATGTTGTTGCAAAATTTCGATCTTTTTACGAATTTTATTAATAAATTTCGCATCTAACATTGTTTTCTTTTTTTGACGAAGTACTATTAATTTATATTACGATAAATTTTGACATTACTTTTTTGATAGAACTCTATGTCAATTTGTTCTTTTTTATTTTTTTTTATTAATTCTAATAAACTTACCTTCGACCATTTTCTGTGTCGATTTCTTCGCAATGTGCAGTTGAGATGAAGCTTGAATTTTAAAATTTAAGAATAAAATTGGATTATTTAAAATCAAAATTGCCAAAAAGTACTACTTACAAGATAAAGCTCTCATTATATTTTGGCGACCAATTGTTTGATTTGGATTTCGTGGCGAATTTTCTTTTCTTGTCGGATAACCATGGACCGATTAGGTTTACTTCGACAAAAGGCCTAAACATTCCCGAGACGAGTGTCCATTTCAAATCGTTTGCGGCAACCACTTTAAATATAAGACAACACACATAATAAATGACTTCTAAATTGCTTGGTCTTGACTTTTTACCTTTAACAGTAACTTTATGTTCAGTTGGAGTCCCTGGATGCGTAAAGAGGTCTACTTGAATCGATACTTCACCTACACAGTCTTGTTGGTCGATCGAATCTGAAAGGAAACATCGAAAAACGAATTGATTAATTATTTTATAAAAAAAAATAATAAGCTCATCTTGTATTTGCTCTAAAAGAATTAAAAGCCGTATTATTTGAAACACTTTACTTCCATGTTCTAATCGGCAGCTTCACTAAAATAGGATATAGATAAGGCGTGCTTTAGAATTAAAAAATTACATGCAAAATGTCGTAAAATGCTTAAAAAGCGGGAGATTTTATTTTTTAAATTCTCTTCATCGAAATGTATCTAATAAAGAGTAAAGAATAAACTAAATCTATTTTTTATTTTCTAAAAAAATTCTAAAATCTAAACTAAGATCTGGCTTTACTAATGAATTATTAAAATTGTTTGTTTTAGTGTTTTTGCATCGTTTGTGCAAGAAACAACCCAAGTTATAATGTTATTGATAAAAAGAAACTGATGGACTTCTTGAGGGAGGTGAATTTAGATTAATTGAAATGATTAATTCAAACTTGAACAATTTTAAAATGTGGGGAGATACCTTGTTGGGTCTGTTTAATTTTCTTGGACCTCCTAGGCTCCTCCTGCGCCTCTTGTCCCTGTTCAGTTTCGTCCTTTTCACCAGAAATTTGCCGCTCGAGGTACGTGTCTTTATTGTTAAGCGGCACTTTTTTATAAATTTAATAAAAATTCAATTTTCCTAACGTTTCTCGTTCTTTTAATGTCTTAATTTAATTTTATCATAATTTTCTTTGAATTTTTTTAGTTTAATGTTAAAAATAGTTAAATTAAAAAGATCTTACCTTGGTTAACTTGAGATATCACAAAAGTGGTTATTAAAGAATCCGTCGTTTGCGTGTACAACGATAAGGCATACTTCAAGCTCATCAATTCGGGGTTCTTCTCTAAGAAGGTCTTTTTCAGTCCGTTTCCTCCAGCGTGGAAGTATTGTCGAATTGTTTCTAAAGCCACGTCTAAAACTACGCATTGTTTCGGGGATAAATTCTTTTCGACTTCTTTCGAAATGTCCATCACGCCACTCAAAGCGTTTTTAACGTCTTGTTTACCCGTCATGTGGTTTTTAAATAATCGCGACATATCCTCGATTTTTGTGTTAGCGGCTAAATTTTTTGCGTTGTCCGTTATGCTTTTGAAAACCAACTAAAATAAATAATTTATTAAATTAAACTTAAAATAAATTTTTTAACTTACACTTCGATCTGACATCGGTGGTAAAACAACATTTTTCTCCAAGATTTTCATAACGATCCTCCATAACTCCTTTAATAATCTTTTCAACACGGTTTTTTCACACGTTTCCGCATACAAAGATAAAGAACCATCGAGTAAATCCATTAATGGTCTTAATACGTAATCAGCATCGGGCGCGCACATTTGTCTCGCTGCTTGTTCGTTCTTTGTGTCGACGTTACCTTTAATTGCCAACAAGATATCTGCTAATTGCTTAACACTTTGAGTGATTCTTGGTTCTAAGATATTCGCGAATTCCGTTGCTAAATCGTCTAAAGTTCCGTTTAACGTTTGTTGAAGTTCGGTTAAAATTTCGGCTGCGTCTTCTTCCAAACTTTTTCCTCCCATCGATTCAAACATTTTTTCGAGTTGTACCCTGAGTTGTTGGATGTTATTCATTAAAATGCACGCCTAAATAAATACATAAATTAATTAATTATAAAATTATGGTATTTTTAATTACTATTCGTTCATCTTGAGCATGTTGAGGGAATTCAGCTTTAACAATATCCGCGTACGCTATAAGAACTTTAACGATGGTTTTAGCGAAACGCTTCATGTATCGTTTCCAAATTTCAGGATCGGGACATTCGAGCTTTGAAACGACGTCAAAGCATTGCGTTAATTGCGTGAAAACATCGACGACGGAGTTTGAAAATAGTGTATGTTCGCTACTGTTTTGGAACTGCAATTTATAAATTAAAAAATTAAATAATTACATTTTTTTGTATTTACCCCGTCTTGTTTATCCCTTTTAAAGGCACCGTGTAGGTATTCTAAAGAAACATCATCGTTCTCATTGAGCCATTGCATCACGAACGGCTCAAACCAGGCGGGATATTCAGGCACTGTGTCTTTGTACGGCAGTACATCTTTGATATAATTCGTATACAACCATTTCACCTTAAAATGCAAATTCATGTACGCAGAAGATTTGCACAATCGGTGCTGTTCGTGTTCCTCGAGAGCGTATTTCATATCTAACGCGAAAAATCCCCACATATTCGCCGCTGATAATTGCCCAATATTCAATTCTTGAGGAAATTGATTCAAAACCGGACCATAACTGTTTTTGTCTTCATCAATAACCGATACGATTAACGCTATCAATTTATGCCAGAAATCGACACTTTCCAAACTAGGCCCGTGTTCATCGGGATCGCGTTTTTGTTCGCCCGGATCGGGTTGAAACTCTCGAATATAAAGTTCAAACGCGTTCTCGAACAAAAATTGATAAGTCGAACGCAAACATGCTTTAACGCAATCCTTAACAACCGTACTCGCTCTTGGTGGACATGAAAGCTCTTGCACTTTCATTCGGAAGAACGTAATCGAGGTGAGAAGATCAACCGTTGATTTTAAGTCCATTAATTTCTCTTTGGATGAAGCCGGGAAATTATTTCTGTACATCGATAAATCGATTCTTAAGGAATTATGAAGTTGGTCGAGAAGCTTTACAAATTTTTCTTTCTAAAAATTAAAAAAATATGAATAATAACACAATTAATAAATTCGATTACTATTAAATTACCCCGAAATTAGAAGCCGCGAATCGATCGCTTGCTGAAACCGCTGAAGATGCTGTCGTGTGGGCGTAATACGCATTTATATTGGCTAATAACATACTCATTACAGCCGGAACCCCAGGACATAAATATTTCGTTGAGAGACAATGGAAATGGCTAAAACATTAAAAACTTCACTGATTCTGTTAATTCAATATTTTTTACGTACGTCATCGCTTGATAAATCGACTCAATTCCATATCTCATCGCGAATTCGTCAACAATTTCCTCGGCGGCCTCATCAAAGTAAACTTTCCAAGCGTCGTCCCCTTTCGCTTGAGGAAGACTAACGGTGCCGGCGTTTTGTTCGCACAAATAATGGAATAAATTTTCGTGTAAACACGTGTACTGTACGTGATACGGGGCAACTTTTTCCTCGCCTTTGATTTCGACGGAAATGTGCAATCGAATCGCTCCGGAAACCGCTGATTTATCCGTTCTTTTCTCCAAATTGTACCATACGTCCATTTCTCCCGACAAAGTCCTCACTTCAATTATCGTCTGACCTAAAAAGTCATCCGATTCTCGAGTGAGCTTTTGACGAAGTTTACTTTTTAGGTCGTTGTCTTCATCCCAAACGCGAACTTTAATTCTGTCTGATGAATTATGACATTCACTAAAAAAAAATATAAAAATGTTAAAATAATTGTATCTTCAAAATTAATTGAGATATAACAATTTGGTAAAAAGCATTTTAAAGCAAATTTAATCTAGTCTTTATGTGCCATAAATAATTTCTTAATTTCCATAAATCTCGCTGTTATGATTTTTTGATTCCAACCCTGCATGTTCTAACCATGAGGATTATATCGGAACTTAAAAGATCGTATCTTCAAAACCAATTGAGATATAACAATTTGGTAAAAAGCATTTTAAAGCAAATTTAATCTAGTTTTTATGTGCCATAAATAATTTCTTAATTTCCATAAATCTCGCTGTTATGATTTTTTGATTCCAATCCTACATGTTTTAATCGTATCGCAACTTAAATAATCGTATCTTCAAAACCAATTGAGATATAACAATTTGGTAAAAAGCATTTTAAAGCAAATTTAATCTAGTTTTTATGTGCCATAAATAATTTCTTAATTTCCATAAATCTCGCTGTTATGATTTTTTGATTCCAATCCTACATGTTTTAATCGTATCGCAACTTAAATAATCGTATCTTCAAAACCAATTGAGATATAACAATTTGGTAAAAAGCATTTTAAAGCAAATTTAATCTAGTTTTTATGTGCCATAAATAATTTCTTAATTTCCATAAATCTCGCTGTTATGATTTTTTGATTCCAATCCTACATGTTTTAATCGTATCGCAACTTAAATAATCGTATCTTCAAAACCAATTGAGATATAACAATTTGGTAAAAAGCATTTTAAAGCAAATTTAATCTAGTTTTTATGTGCCATAAATAATTTCTTAATTTCCATAAATCTCGCTGTTATGATTTTTTGATTCCAATCCTACATGTTTTAATCGTATCGCAACTTAAATAATCGTATCTTCAAAACCAATTGAGATATAACAATTTGGTAAAAAGCATTTTAAAGCAAATTTAATCTAGTTTTTATGTGCCATAAATAATTTCTTAATTTCCATAAATCTCGCTGTTATGATTTTTTGATTCCAATCCTACATGTTTTAATCGTATCGCAACTTAAATAATCGTATCTTCAAAACCAATTGAGATATAACAATTTGGTAAAAAGCATTTTAAAGCAAATTTAATCTAGTTTTTATGTGCCATAAATAATTTCTTAATTTCCATAAATCTCGCTGTTATGATTTTTTGATTCCAATCCTACATGTTTTAATCGTATCGCAACTTAAATAATCGTATCTTCAAAACCAATTGAGATATAACAATTTGGTAAAAAGCATTTTAAAGCAAATTTAAACTAGTTTTTATATGCCATAAATAATTTCTTAGTTTTTATAAATCTCGTTGTTATGATTTTTTAATTTCTTAGAAATAAATATAATTAAAAATTACTTACAAATAAAACTTTTCATCCCAAACAGGATTCAACTCCTGAGGCATCGTCCTCGTTCTCTTCTTTACTTTTCCAACTTGAACGGTTACATAAGGATCAGAAGTTCCGCTTTTATCCTTAGCGATTAATCCCTGGGCAGATTTCACTAGAAAATTTTGACGGCTTTAAATTAATTTTCGCATAAATAAATTAGAAATCGATTAAAAATTTGTTAAGTTTCAACAAGATATGAAGTTAAAAATAGAGAGAGTAAAAAAGAATATTTCTAAAATGGATACGATAACTTGAATTGTGCTAAGAAAATAGATCCAGATTCTAAACTAAAAAAAATTTGGTGAGAAAGTATACAAAGAAGAATTAATTTAATAAGAGTGCACAAACTTTTTAAACCGTTAAATTTTAAGAAGTGCTTTTTATTTACATGCTTTCTTTCATTTCGTTCTTATAATTTAAAAGCGGGTTTAAGCGGAAGAAGAATAAGAAAATTAGTTATTGGGTGGGTTTATGTACAGTTGGTTTCTTTAAATTATTTTTTTTAATAAAGAGGGAATTAAAAATGCTTTTTAATTATAAATAGTAAATACCATACCTTTCTTTCTACAAGAATCTAGTTTTTAAAGCTAAATTTTTGCTGTAAAGTGTTTTAAAAAATGTATTAAGAAATAAATGTTGTTTTAAAAGGTGTTTTTAACAAAAATAGAGTGATAAAGGTGTTAATTAAAAAGTTTCTTTTATGTAGTGTAATTTTTAGTGATATTAGTGTTGTTTTAGGAAGATCAACAAAGTAAGCGGTTTTTTTGTTGTCCAGTGCCATTATTAAATAACTCCAAAGAATAAATAGGTAATAACAAATACATAGTAATATGTATATAAAAACTCAGCTACCTAAAGTTGGTCAACAGGCAGGTCTGTTTAGCTACATTCTATGGGCAAGCGTTTGCTGGAAAATTAAAAGTAAATATAACGCCGACGATCCAAAAGAATTATTCATTTTCTTTTCTTCGGATCGCCAAGACATACACAAACAAGCCAAAAGTACTCAAGCCTTAAAATGTGTTAAGTTATATTGAACGAAAATTTTCGTATAATTCTCTTTACTGGAGAAGATAAATAATATAAAGGGAAAGGATTTTTAAGAGTCCAAATTTTTAAATTCATCGTATGTCATGCTTCAATATTGCATCCAAACATGATCATGAATCACAACTCGTAGAAGTAATACTGATTTAGATTTTAGTATTGTGGCAGAAAAACTACAAGAAGAAAGTGTTTCAACTATTAACTAGATAGGTATATAGAAAGTGTGGTAAATGTGTGTGTAAATATGGTCAAAAACATTCATTACCGTCATAATCATAACAAGAATATTTAAAAGCTAAAAACTTTAATGGTGCCTTAAAGATTCAACAAAGAGCATAAAGAAATTGTACGAAAAGACATGGATAAATACAAAAAGACAAAGGGAGAGACAGAGAAAAACGAAGATTTAGTGCCAAAAAACATTGATGAAAATTGTAAGGGTGCAAAAAAGAGCAGAAAAGAAAACGAGATTTAAGAAACATTTTGGCAGTTTTTAATTTGTGTGTGTGAGACAAAGGCACTCGGTACTTCACAGCGTGTCTGAGTTATTCAAAATAAAGTGTCCTTTTATTATAAGAATCCTGTATGCAAAAGATTTTATTTAATTTAAAGAAATTAAAATCAAATTATTTTGTATACAGGAAAAGAGAAATTAAAAAAAAAATAGTAAATATTGTAAGTTTGAAGTTTGGTTTTGAAGAGATCTTCTAAAAATTTGAAAATAAATTGAAAATTAAAAAAATAAATAAATAAAAATAAAAGTTCTTCCCGATAGAATGCAGCTTGCAGCAATACCTGTGATGGCAATCTTGCACGACCACTTGGAAGTTCCTTCAATAGTGACGGCCTCCGCTTGCTCGATTGAATCTATGTGTGTGTCGGGATCCACTGAAAATGTTGTTCTGTTGACGAGGGGGGTCGAAACCGGAAACAAACACAATGCAACACAAAACGTACACAAAACGGGAGAAGAATCAAAACGAAACAAAAAAATATCTCTTGATTCCGAATCATTTTCTTGCAATTCTTGATTTGACAAATCCTAAGCAGTTGATGGTGATCAATTTCCGGTTCTGTAAGTTTCTGGTTTTAGAGTAACTTTATGTAAAAATTCTTTCGGCGTGTTTTGTAATTTTTTGATATTTAGTTTTTTGTTTGTTGCAACTTTTTCCGGTTTTCAAAACTCGAAAGGAAGTCAAATCGCATAACATTTCACTAAACAATCAGTATTCTTTTGTATTTAATGTTGGAGATTAAATTAAGATGATGTGTGTAAAGGAGGATTTTAATCTATAACTTTCCTTTTTTTTTAATTATTGTGTTGTATGCGTTTTTTTAGTTGGTATTTTTGTAAATTTTTTCTAAAGAAAGCTGTCTACACACATCTAAACAATTAATAAATTTTACGTGCATTTCCTAATTTTATTTTGTACTTTGTGATCTTTAATAATATTTTAAGTGAAAATTACAAAATTTTTTTTGAGGGAAGTTGGATTTGTTATCAGAATGATGAATAAGTCCTTTTAACATGACATTCCACTTTAATCGTCAAGATACATAAAAGTAATAAAACTGATTTACTTTGAATAATGCTTCTAAGTTTGGCTGTATTGAAAATGTCAGGACAATATATCATCAATAAAATCTTTAAGTTAGTTAGAACTGGAGGGTGTGGCAGAAATAATTCCCAACTCCCTGTAAGCTCTCCAAAGCAATAAAGATTTCGATCTTTATTATGCCAGAGACTGTTTTGAGCGGCTCAGCTTATATGCTGAACGTTCCGGAATGGAGAATGATAAATTGGAAATGTATTAAAATACAGAATCTGAAATTAAGAAAATCAAAAGGCTGCTTTAAAGGCAACCTTATTGGCCGAAGCTAGAACAGAGATTCATAAGGTTCGAGGGAGTCCTAAGAAAATAAGAAATCTTTTTGTCAGAACCTTATTCAACACTTTAGTGTGATTTCCTTAACCCAACTCAACCCTATGGAGTCTACATTTTGTGTACCAATAACTTGTATACTTATAATAAATGCCTTTATTAGAAAATAAGCTTAATTGTACAAAAAAAAACATACAAAAGAAAATAGGCGAGTTCCAGCTTGTACTAGTTAGTACAGCTGCTCTAACTAACCTAAGAAACAAAAAAAGAAAAACATGACTCGGCCAAAAATTACAAAGCAACAGCTAGATACAACAACAACATTGCAAAACATGTCAGATCAGCGTTTGCTCCCATGTAGACATTGTTCAAGAAAACAAGAATATTTCTGTGTAAATTTAAACCTTCGTAGTGAGAACCCCTTGCAATTATCGTCCACCTCATTATATTTCGAAGTTATTTGAAATAAGTATGATCTCTGAAACAAAGACAAACGATAGAAGGGTGGCGACAGTCTTCCGCGAAATCGCGTATTTATTCGGTGAACATCATTTCGGAAAGTTATCAGTTGGTAGAGATACTGTGGTTCCTTGTAGTTTATAATTTTATGGTATAGGCACAAACACTGCACTTTCCTACGATGATACATATTTAGCCATCCCGCATCCTTCAGTTTATAAGATATTCTGTTATATTTTCTAATTCCATATATATACCGAAGTTGAATACGTGTTACATCGCTAACGTCAATGCACGGATGGTAGACCTCAGCACAATAAGTGAATTGAGACAACACAGAGGCTTCGCACAACACCTTTTTCAGATGAATACCAAGGTAGTCGATGAGGAAACAACATCTTCAGATGATAATAAGCCCTGGATATACAGTTGGAGACATGCTTCTTATAGCGAAAACTGTTGTCCATAATCATACCCAAATTCTTTACCTCACTAACCAAAGGAATGTTACAATCATCAATTTGCAAATCAATACTTTCCCGAAAACCATTACATATAGCGGAATTTCCAAAAAGTATAGCATTGGATTTACTCGGATTAAGATGTAGACCGTATTCCCGAGCCACTTTATGAATGTAATCAAGGTCTTTTTGCATATTCGTAATACCCAACGCGAAGTCGCGTGGATCAAAGGAAACATACATCTGCAAGTCATCCGCATACATATGGTACTCACAATGATTTAACCCCCTAACGATTTGAGATGTATATAAAGAAAATAGAATAGGCCCTAAAATAGTACCTTGTGGTACACCCTTGCTCAAACAGCGAAATTCAGACAAAGCATCACCGATTCTAACCGACTGATGCCTATTACTTAAATAATTTTCAATTAAGTTTAAAGCGGATTCACTGAAGCCAATATACTTTAACAATTCCACAAGCAAATCATGACAAACACTATCAAAAGCTCTACTAAAATCCAACAAGACTACCAACGTACATAATCCTTTATCTCGAGCCTGTAAAATATCATTAGTTACCTTGAGAAGAGCAGTACTGCAGCTATGGTTTCTACGAAAACCAGATTGATGCTTCGGTAAAATATTATTAATTTGAACAAATTGATGCAACTGATTAAACATAATTCTTTCCAGAACTTTAGATAAAATTGGCAATATGCTAATCGGCCGCAGATCTTTAGGCTCAGATGGGTCACGTTTTTTCGGGATAGGAACCACAATTGACAACTTCCAACAGTCAGGTACATCCGAAGTTTCAATGCAAACATTGAGTAAATGTGTCAAGTAGGGTAATATAAATGGAAGACACATATTCAACATACTCATACTGATATTATCAGCACCGGCAGCTCTAGAAGAAATTGAGGAAATAGCTTTTATTACATCAGCTTCGGATACAAAGACAAACTTAAAATTAGTTTGAATCAAATTTAAAGGCGGTAAGTCATTAAAACTGAAACGCGTTGCAAGGTTCAAAGAAGGGACTGAATCAATAAAGAAATCGTTAACCTCATCTGGTCGATTCAAGTGAGCAGGGATTTGCTGTGAACATTTCGTACCACAAATACCCAAATGATTCAATTGTTTCCACAGTTCAGCACCCCGAGACGTCTGATATAAAAATTCCAGATATGATTTTCTTTCTCTTCTAATGCAGGTTGTAGTAAAATTCCTCAGCTCCTTATAAGCAACCCAATCAGCACCTGAACGAGTACGCTTGTATTTATTCTTTGCCCTATCACGTTCGTCCATAAGCAATTTAATATTTGGTGTTAACCAAGGTACGACCTTTTTGGTAAACCTCCTTACGGTTAAAGGGGCATGTCTGTCAAATAAAGCCAGCAACAAGTTATTAAAGTTTTGAACTTTACAATTAATGTTATCCATGAAAAATATTTTGTGAAAAGGCACCGACTGCAGATCGCTATTGAAAGCACACTCATCGACACCACGCAGCATACGCACGGTTAATAACCGAGGAGGAATCTTAGGTACTTTCAAATCTATTTCGCAAAAAATCAAATCATGATCAGACAAATCACACGGCAATACACCACTAACACTCACCAAACGACAGCAAGATGTGACGATGACATCCAACAATGTCATAACAGCATTGGTCACACGAGTCGGATCACCTATTAGTTGCACACATCCAAGAATTCATGAAACAGGTTAATAAATGGACCATTCACGTTCAGAAGATCGATGTTCAGGTCACCCAAACAAAAAATGTTTTGGGATTCAGCAACACAAGTAGTGTATACTTCCTCCACACTACTCAAAAAGTCTCTACAATTAATGTGAGATATAAACTTTCAAAACTTCCTTATTAGCTGTATGAATCAAAAGTGGAATGACATTAAGATCTTCATTCTGATAAATTAAAAAGTAAATCCACTTCTACTCAAAAACTCAGCTTCTAATAAAAAATTAAGCACGTTTTGTGGCTGCTTTCTAAAACCATTTACTACATCAAAAATTACACAAATAAAAATAATATCTATATAATATTAATAGTGAGTGTTTTTGCGATAGGATTTCGAGTTTTTTTAATTTCGGAAAAAGAACAACAAGCGAAGCAAATGTACAAAAATTCCTAAAGAAAAATCCTAAAAAACTAAAAAAAAATTTGAGGTGTGGGTCTCTTGATAAAATCATCAAGAATAATCAAAAATAATCCTATTTAAATTGTTGAGTAAGGAATTAAGAGGGAGTTTAAAAAAATAGCGTAAAGCGGCTGCACATTCAGAGCATTCATATAAATTATGGTTTCAAAAATTGTCATCAAAAAAAAAAAATAGACATAAAACTTTGAATTTTTACTTAATTTTTCGTTTTATAAGTGAAGAAGTTTTATTTCTATTTTTTACATTTGCACAATCAGTTATCAAGTCCAATAATAATCACAAAAATAAAAATAAATAAGTCTCGAATTGAAATTCGAGCATAAATACTCTTCTTGTTCACAAATAAAAACAAACCTGTGATGGCAATTTTCGCCGACCATTTCGAGGTACCGTCCAAGACGCTCTGTTTGACAGCTTTCATGTGACCCGAATGACTCTTGTCCTCGACACCGAACACTTCCCTGTTTGAGGTTTTCATCAAAAAAAAAATTACAACGTAAAAAACCAAAACTAAATCAAATAAACGGATTATGATGGAAAAATTTTCCTCGCTCTTTGTTTCAGCCGGAGAATAAGCTTTAATTGGAAAAATCAATTTAAATAAGTACCAAAAAGTTTGATTTTTTTATTAATTTATATCTCCTGAAAAATTGTTATTAAGAGGAGTAAAAAATTAAAAATTGTTGAGATCAAGAATTAAAAACAGTTTTAATTTTTTTACCTTATCAATTCGAAAATTTCGGGTTTCTCACGTTCTCTTTGTTTCATTCTTTCCCTCATTGCTGTTATGATGCTGTTCGCTTTGTCTTCAGCGCCGTGTTTAGAGCTTTTTTCCGCAGCACCTATTAAAATGTATAAAAAATAAGAAAGATAAAAAATTCAAAGATGTCAAAGTGTTGAAAGTGCTAAAAGATTAAAAGAAAAGCCTTATTTAATATTAGATGGAAGAGAACACTTGAAAAAGGTGTACAATGAAGGAACGTTTTATGACTCTCTGTTTCGACGATTTTATTTAACTTTAAAACTTTTACATAAAAAATTTATCTTATATGACTCTTTTTTTCGTTTTAATTCACATTTTTAATTAATATTCCTAAGATTGCTTTGGATGTGTAGATAAGAAATGAAACGTTTCGAAATTAACATAATTTGCATAAAATGTTCTGAAGGTTTTGACCCAAAGCTCGGCGGGGTTTTAAATAAAACAAGGTTAAAGCTGAGCCAAAAATAATTCACACTTAACTGGACCATCTCCAGACCATCAAGAAATTCCAAAACAGTACTAACCATTAAGTACACATTATTACACATTAATCTAGTCGTGAAACGCAGTGTAATTAGACAGGCATAAGCATAAATCCAAATTTGTAGTCAGCGACGTCATTCCCAGTAGAGCTGTGCAAAAAAAATGGAAACGCGTATGTTCAGTCGTGAGAACGAGAGAGAGAGTGTTTTAACGATTTTCTGTCGTATCGTCGTCGTTTTGTGTCCTTTTTGGCACTCCGACGCGTTGCGACGTGACAGCTATGTCGCATTTTTTTAATAGTAAAACAGAATTTCCATTCTGAAAGCACGTCGTCCTTGTTATGTGATAATTTATGGTCTGTTAGTTACTGTTGAATTTTGTTTTTAAATCTATTATTGAATGGATTGACGATATTTATAAAATTTGTGTTAGGAGAAACAGCTTTGGGGTTGATTTGACCCTGAAATTTAATATTTAATATCTACACGACGAGCCGATAATGATTTTACCCAGTAAGTTTCTTTTCTAATGATAACATAATATGTTATTATGCGTCGACGCACGGTTAAACTCGAATGTTTCTAGTTCTAGGTCTAGTTTGTGTTACTACAAAGTAAATAGTTAACACAAATAGCAAATTATCTGATCTTTAACTTTTTAAAAGTAGAAAAGTATCTAAAAGAAACATGAATAATGTATGGAGTTAGAATACAGTTTGAAAAAAAAAAAACAAGTTACACAAAATTGGATGCGGTAGCGTAAGGAAAAACAGATGACTTTAAAATTAATTTTGCTGAAACAATTTCGCACTTTCTGGAACAATTTCGAAACAGCGCATGAAAAGGAACTTTGTTGTACGCTTTTTTTTAATGTTATGCGTTGGTCCGTGCTAGCAGTTGGAGTAATTTGCGAGTGCTTTGGAGCGAGTTAGTTAAATTCCACCTGGGTTAGAGCTTACATTTCAGGGTATGATTCATTATAAAGCTTCCGGGAGCTTATGCAAAGAAGTTCACGACAATTACAGGTCGAAAGCATTATTGTGGTTCAGTTCAAAAATTTTCCATTTTAAATAAAATAAAGTTAGTTGCGAAACAAATGATTATTAAACCCTTAACTATTTAATTGATTGTCTAAAGCACTCAATTAAACGATATTCTCGCTCGTTCCAATCGTTCCTTTACGCATTTCTCTTTCAAAATCCTCATTATTCGTGATTAATGGGGCCCTAAACGAGGGTTAATTAATGTTGGCCTCGGAAACACGCTCACTTTTACTTAAATATCCTTTCTAACTATTCCACTGTCAAAACACATCGTTTTGCAAATTAAAAAATTTAATTAATTAAAGAAATTAAGATTAAAGTGTCTAAATTAATTTGGATTTATGAAAATTATTGAAAAATGGAAAAGAAATTGGAAGAAAAAGAAGGATTCAGTACTTACGTTGGAGGCAATCCGCGTTAAGAAGGTCTTTGCACTTCTCGTGACACTTGACTCCGCATTCGGTGCATCTCACCCCTTGCCTTGCAATGCCCCATAATAGGCCTTCGCACTCGTAACAATAAGTAGGTGATGTGGCCGACCATAAAACGAAGTTGTGCGGCGTTGTGCTGCTTATCGGATAGATCAAAGCTTGGAGGGTCTTCTTATATACATGCATTTTCTACGTAAGACAAAAAATTAGAAAAAAATATGTGAAATGAGACCAAACTCGATATATATCATTATTTTTATAAAATCAAGTTGGCGGAAAACAAAACACTAATTAGGAATGTCATTTATGCTTTTAAAAATGAATTTTTTTATTAATATAGGATATGATACGTCAAATTTGATTAGAATTTTCTGATCTTTACGAAACTCTTATTATTTAAGACGTTTTTGATAAAATTTATTTTAATTAAATTTCCGTTCACAAAACCCATATCATTTCAAGTTATTAATCTTAGTGAACAGAGGGTGACGTTTATTGATAATTCATTACTCATGATACCCGACAATTTATTATCCACCAATAATTGCATCATAATCGTGTTATTCATCAATCGCTCAAAATTGAATTATTACACTTCAGCTAATCTACTTAATTTTCACTACTTAGTTAATAAAGCTGAAATTACTGCACGATTTGTTCTTGGAAACTTTGTATTACCTTATATTGAACAATAACCCAAACATTTCTAATCTACATACGTACCAATTCCTCATCATTCAATGTCGCTCTTGGAACAGCCGACGTCAATCCGGCGTTTCTCTTCGTCGCAGCCATCGTCTATATTCCGGAAGAGAGACAACAAGACAAAAGGTTCAATCAATAAATTTGTTCGCATTGTTCGGCGAAGTTATCGCAAAATTGCAGACAAATTCAAATTTCAAATTGGTAAGCAAATTTAATGTTAAAATCTAATAAACTATACATATTTTTTAATGAATTACGAGAAATAAATAATAAAATACAAAGTTAATCGTTACAAAATGGTAAAAATAGCGTGGTTATTTATTAGAAGCTTATATAAAATCTAGAAAAAATCAGTAGAATCTAAAAAAAAACCTACCTAAATGTTCAATACTTAAACTTACCTGTAATTTTTTAATATTACCATGCTACAATTTTTTAATCATGCAATTATTAAGATGATTATCCAAAGAGAAGAAGAAAGAAACAAAAAGAGAAGAGAAATTAATATAATATGAGCAAATGTGCAAAAAAGCGTATTTATAAGTCTTTTAATTTAGTAATCATTTAATTCAAAATCAAAAGTAAGATATGTATCAAAAAAAAAAATTTAAAAAGAGATATGGAAGAAGAAAAAAAGAAATGTTTCGTTTTCAAAAGAGACCAATACCTTGAGCACCTGGAGTTTTTATGAAGCGACGAAGGGGTAACCATCAAATAGAACAAACAACACAGACACGTTAGTTTCGGTAACAAAGAGACATTTAACATTTAAAAAGAAGGGTTTTAAACGATTCTTTTTAATAAACAGAGAGGATAAATTTTCATTTAAAGGTCAAGTACATATAATCTTTATAAAACACTTATACAAAAAAAATAAACAGATACAAAGAGGGGCTTGACACAAAATAATAAAAAACGTTCATATACACCACTAAAAAGGGGATGAAAACACACTAAATGGTTTGAGGGGGGTTAAGGAAAGAAATGGATTTAATGAAAAAAGCTTGTTGTTCTTTTTATAGAATGATTTTGATTTTTTTAGAATCCAAAAAAAGTTACTCACCAAATCGGAAACCAAAGGAATCGATTTTCTTCTCGGTCGGATATCGGGCATGCTGTCGATGTTGCTATAGAAGGGATTATCTCCTGGATGCCTAAGAAATATAACACAATACAAATTAGGATATAAATCAATTATATTAAAAATAAACAAGTCTAAATACAATTAAGCCAATTTTAAGTTAAAGAGCTCTAAAAAAATATTTTTATAGCCACCTGGAAAATACTTTCAAATATTAGCCTAAAAGGTTATAGATTATTTTGAAATCACCGTATCAAAGCATCGAGTAATACAAAATGCCACAAATTCAACCTGAAAAGAAAACGTATCTAATTTATTTTTAAATCATTAATGTATTAATTTGAATTAATGCTTTTTAAAAATTTTAAATAATAACAGCATTTTAAACCACCAAGACATTTTAAGAGGATAAATCAGAGATCAAGTTTAGAGGTTAAGGAAGGAAACTTAATAATCATAATTTTTATTGAGACAATTGCGGAAGTACTGCCTGTTACGTTGAGCAACCTCGTTAAAGATTTTCAATGAGCCTGAAAAAAGTACTACCGATTATGCAAGAAAGACTGGTTGATTCTGTTTATCTTGATGAAATTTGGATTTTTGGATCCACGAAAAAGTTGGACAAAAAAATCTGTTTGTAATTTTTCTTCCTCTTCTTCTTTCTCTTGTCCCTATTTATACCTTACGGTGTTGGATTTTCGGACCTATCTTTTATACATCTTCCTATTTCCTTTTTTCAACAATCCTATCAATCTCTCCCTTCTATTGGGCTCTTGGTCTGCCAAGCTTTTTCTTTCCTTCTGGATTCATTTTGAACATTTTGTTAGGTATTCTATTTTCTTTCATTCGAACCAGATGACCATACCAATTTAGTTGTTTTTCTTCTATTTCCTTTACCAGGAAATATATATCCATACCCTATCTCTTCTGGTTTTCCTCAATACCTTGCGTAGGTACTTCATATCTGCTGCTGTTATTTTCGATTTGTGCTGGTCTAACATCGTCCAAGTTTCTGATCCATAATTAAGTGTGGGTATATAGATGGTTTTATATAATTGTATTTATGGTTTAGTGTTCAGTTCCTTCTTGCCTACGAGGGTGGTAGTAGAATGTATTTGCTTTTGCTGTTCTGTTGCGTATTTCCAAATCTATCTTTCCATCCTTACTTATTACGGTTCCAAGATATTTCCACTCGTTGCTCCTCCATTTTTACGTCAATATCTCCCGTTTCTTCTTCTTTTGTTAATTCTGAACTCTTCTGACGTCTTTCCATTCTGTCTAACCCTTCCCATTACGTTATGGTATACGCTTTTGATTGCTCTTTTTAATTTTGGACTTGTCCCCAGTTCGCTCAAACCTTCCCATTTATAAAGAGCGAAATTCTGTTAAAATTTCTGTTACAATCCCTACCAAAAATTTTTTATTGAATTTTTTTATCTAAAGCTAATTAATCGATTTCCTTTTCCGCGTAATTTCCTTAATCTTAAATGGGACAAGACTCTTCCCGTATAACACAACATAGAAAACCGTGGACCATGTAAGCAGATTTAGAGTTGAGATATAATTCAAACTTCTCCAAGCGACCCAACCCCGTTCAACTACCACCACTACACACTACAAAGGGGAAATCCATCTCCCACGACTACCAAAGGGGAAGAAATTTTTAAATTTAATAAAGCGGACTCGTCCCAGACATTCCCCGACCCAACTTTAATGAGATTACCGCCAGCAACAACTTTAGTTAGCTACTATCTCTCTCCATCCCTCGACGACTTACTCAGTTTCTCTCTTCATCGGCAGTTTTGCGAAATTTAGCTAAATTTATTGAGGGACACATTCTAATTCCAAACTGAGTAAATTATTCCAACAAAAAAAATTATTCAACTTTAACATGTTTCCGTGTTCGGCGATTTCATGTGGCACGTTACACGAGATAAAATTGCTCGCTCACTCGTTCGTTCGTTGGGTTGGTGCAACGTTTTCAAAATCGATTTTCCGTCGCACAGTCTCGGTTTTAAAATGTTAGCTTTTAAATTACACCCTTCTCGTAATTAGGGTAAATTTTTGCTTTTTATCCGAGGCAGATGAACGATGGTGGATGAGAAATCGCAGGGTTAGAAAGGGGATGGTTTCAAAGGAGGTTGGGGTAAAAAATTCATTTAACTCACCCGTTAGCTCTGCCGCTGGCATCTCCACCAACTCCAGTTCCATTCTAAAAAAGAAAACAAAAAAAAAATAAATTAGTTTAACATAAAATTAAAATTTTAAAATAAAATATTTATTTTTAAATACATTGAAAATAAATTAAGGTTTACAATAACAGACATCTGGGTAAGGATATTTTTATAATATGTATACATTTTTTTTTTGTTTTAAAAAGCGCTAGAAATAAGCTTTATCCATTACATATACCTCTAAAAACATTGACTTCATTATTATTATTTTCATTTTAGTGCAAATTTTTTCTATTGACTATAATAGTTTTTTTCTTTGATAAAGCGAAACATCGATTATCAACGTGATGATCATTTTTTTTTTGTTTTTATGGACAAATTGTGTTAATATGTGCATGATATTTTTTTTAATTTTTAATGGATGATATGACTTCTTTTCAGTTTCACAAATATTGCTCTCTAAGTTTCATTCATTTAATTTTTTTTAAGCGTTAATTGATTTTTACTGAAGAAGCTGTGAGTTGTGAGTTGATCTAAAAGCGTTTTTTTTTTTTAGTTAACTTAAGTTTTTACGTGAATCTCGTAGAAATTCTTCACCATACCCAACATACTCACTTTATCTTTATCAACAGTTGCGGTGTTCTCTGCAATTTTTTCTTGGTTACTTTTCTCCTCCGCTTTTCTTTCTTTCAAAGCTTTTAATAATTTCCATTTACTTCCCATTGGGCCTGAATCTTTTTGCTCGTCTTTTGCTGAATCGATTTTAATTTTAGGGACGGTTGTTCCAGTTTCTTCTTTAATTTTAAGAACTTCCTCCGGTATTATCGGCTCTTCATCTCCTTTACTTAACCGTTGACACTTCGCGAATTCTTCAGCTAATTCACCTTCTTCATATTCGCTCAAACTATGGCGAGGTGAATCCGGCCCGGATGTATCACCGGATGTATTCGATTTTCGATCTAAATCTTGTAATTCATCGTCGTATTCTTCTTCTACTTCTTTTATTGGTTCTTCGTATAAAAATTCCTCAAATTTATTAAAATTTATTTTTAATTCTTCTTCTTCTTGTCTGTGTTTAGCCGAAGATATCACATGTCGATTATTGTCTTTTTCGTCCAAAATTCCTTCGACAACTTTAGCTTTCATCCTCAATTCGCGCAAAACAAACGACATTTTCTCTTTAACTTCTTCGTCGGGTTCTAAGGCTTCCTCCATTTCAGCTGCTTCTTTAGGTGGTTCACCTAGTTCAGCTTCGAGTTGTGATTGTCGTTCCAATTCTTCCAATTTTTTTAATTCGTAGCAATACCATTCGTCTTCACTATCTATGCTATCTTCAGTACTTTGTCTTCTCGAGGAAACTCTTGAGCCGCTTCTCCAAGAATGAGTACTTCTATTGTCGTCGTCTGGGTAACAAGGGATTTCTAAACTTTGTTGATGACGTTGAAGAATTCGGAGTTGACGCATATTTAATGGACTTCCTTCGGAAATTGATTCGGTATGGTTTAAAGAATCAAAACTGTTTTGGCTCTCATTTGATTTTTGTTCTTTTATGGGTTTATGATTACTTGGGGAGTGTTGGGATTGAAGATTATTTGGGGAGTGATGGGATTGAAGATTATTTGGAGATTGTTGGGATTGAAGAGTATTCGGAGATTGTTGAGATTGAAGATTACTTGGAGATTGCTGAGTTTGAAAATTATTTGAGGAATTATTTACGGAATAATTATTTGGAATTTGAATTGTTTGGAAAGATTGATGATTGTTTGTTTGTGGTTTATCAATTTCGGATTTATTTTCGTCAAATTTTCCATTAAAATCATCCGGTTGGTCTTCGGACACCGTTGTTTGTCTTTGTCTGTACTTTCCTAAAGCTCTAGAAACAGCAAATTCCATTGAAGCACCGCCTAAGGTAACTGGAGGAAATTTTCCATCGCTACTAATTGAATCCTCGCTTTTTTCTGATTTATCAGAAGATTTTTTTACATCACCAATAGTTGGAAAAATACTACTAGATCCGCTACCCGTACTTTTACCAGAAATTTCTTCTTCATTCTGATTTTGATCAGAAAATTCATTTTCTTCTTTGGGAGGTTGAAGAGTATAATTTATAAAATTCTCGTCATCTTTAAAAAGTTCCTCTTCATCTTCTTGTTCATCTTCAATATATTCTTTTTGATCAAATTCTTTTTGCCCCAATTCTTTTTGAACAAATTCTTTCTGACAAAATTCTATCTGCCCAAATTCTTTTTGCGCAAACTCTTTCTGTCCAAATTCTTTCTGATTAAATTCTTTGTGCCCAAATTCTTTTTGCCCAAATTCTTTCTGATTAAATTCTTTTTGCCCAAACTCTTTTTGTCCAAAATCTTTTTGAACCAAACTTTTCGGTTTACTCGATATTACCTTTTCAAATAAATTCTCCCTCTCATATTGTATTTCAGAAAAAACACTACAACTATCTTCACTGCGATCATCCTCAGAAACAACCGATCTTTCCGATTTAACCCACTCATTTTCTGATTGTTCTGGGTCCGATAATGATTGATGGTTACTTTGGGATTTTCGTTTTGCTTTGTGTAGAATACCCGACATTGTAGACATAAGATTTTTTTTCTTTTTCCTTATACCAGGTGGTTTTGCTTTAGATTGGTCATTCAAATCATTTCCAGGCAAAGAATAAGATCGATTTCTTTTGGTGAGGTGTAAATCGGGAAACCAATGAGTAACGGAATTCATTGCCGATTTTAAAGTGTTTCCACGTTTGATTTTGCGCTTTTGTTGTTGTGAGTCATTCATATCGGAAGATATTGAGATGTATCCAGATTGGGATACAATAACTCCGGTTGTTTCATATACTTCACCAACTTGGTGTTGTTGAATGTAATCGGGAATATTTCTATTTCTCAAATCTAATTCGAGATGGGGGATATCTTGTCTTGTGTATCTTGAGTAATTAAGTTCTTGTTGTGGAGGTCTTTGGTTTCTTCTGTCTACGTAGGGGCTTGAATAACAACTTTCTGTCTCCATAGATCTTAATGAACTTGATGTGCTCGTGTTGTCTAAAGGATATTGTCCTTCTGATAACCAAGTTGGATCGACGTAATCATGTGGGAGATTATACGTAGATTCGTATCGGGTTGATGTTGGATAATAAGAAAGAGCATCTGTTATATTACCCGTTGGAAACATCGTGCGTTGCATGGCAGCTTTATAACCTTCATGGTTAGCTATGCCATCCGAACTTGTCGAATACGACCGATTCAATTTCTTGGTGGTTTGGGGTTCCGCACTTTGCATCGTTGTACTGTAAGTGTGCTGCGAGTGTCTCCTTATTTGAGCATTGAGTTCGTTGTTCTCGTAGGGTTCGATCAAATCTGGGTATCTCGCTTGGTTTAAGTAATCAGTATTGCTGGTATACACTGAAGTATAAGATTCTTGTTTATTACTCCCAGCAACTGAATAAATAGCCGGTTGATCGCGATACATTGATTGTTGGGATTTTGATTTTTTCCTCGGACTAATGTTAATATCAGAAGCTGGTGCTGGAGCCGGAACGAAAGTACCATACCCGTCTGGGTTATCAAAACCAGAAGGTGATTTGACAGTTGTGAATGCGGAAAGATGATGACCACCCGGTAAGATTATACTAGATTGCGTCGATGCGCAAATAGGATGTTGCTCGGTTTCAAGAAACGTAGCGGGTTGATGTCTGGTATAATTAGAATCAGTGTAATAAGTAACAGCTTTTCCATTCTTTGGGGAACCTGGTGATTTTTCTAAGCTTGACCATCCACTCATTGAAGATAACCCCGAATCGGATTTTGCGGTTACAATCGTAGTTGAGGAGTGAGCTTTATTCTTCTTCGGCGATTTCGGGGAATGCGATTCATGGCTCGTAATTGACATCGGCGGCGCGGAATCCGCACCGAGGAAGACTGCACCCTTTTGGGTATTGTTCAAAGACATCAAGAATGTCGACGACGAGTCGGTTGTATTGTCGTTTGGGGCTGGAGGTGGAGGACTTTCTGCTCTCGTTCTAATGCTATTACTACACATCGACAACGTGGGAGATTGAGGCTTTTCGGTTACGTTAACATTGAACAATGAAGGAGAAGCACAAGTAGAAGAAGTAGGATCGTACGTTTTTGTTAAAAAATTATCCAAATCCCCATAATCCCCCATCCCAGCAAATGGATTAAACGGATTCTTGAAGGGATTCTTATTAACAGCTGAATCAACATGCTGAACAGCGGCGCTGTAAGCTAAACGGCCCGTTACTGTTGTAAAAGGGGCGCTGCAAGTTGAGATATCCAACGGGCGTCTCCTCGGGGATGTTGGGGTTCTTGAAGCCCCAGCTAACGTTTCTGCCACTTCATTATCAGTTCCTACAACACTATCAGTCACTGATAATCGCGAACTAGGTCTGTTCGTAAACGAATTAGATAAAGAAGTAGGAATTTCACTTTTACTAAGCAAGAGTAATTCTTCTTGATCCCTCAAACCGGAACAGAAGCTCCAATTCTCATCGTTTAATACTTGCCTAAGTTTTTCATCGATAATGTTTGATTTATCAGACAAATTATCTTCAATACCCCCACTCGAATGCGGTGATTCCAACAATTTCCTCTGCAACTGCTTAATATTGATCGAATCTTGTTGGAGTTTCGTGCTTAACCTATCTAATTCGTTTAATTTGTCGATCGTCACTTGATCTATGGAACTTATCCGCGATAATTGTGCTAAATCTTGATCGTTAATGCAAGGCGTATTCCCTCTGTAATCTTTATAATCCATCGCGCTATACACCTCTTGATTTTCATCCTTTTTCTCCTCCACATCAGCCTCTTCTCGTTCTTCCCAAATCATACCTAATTGAGGACGAGTCGATTCGTTGCTCAAGTCTTCTCTATATGCCTGATTTAAACTCCTATAAAACGCTTCATCGGGTCTCATCTCATCCATATCAATCTCCTTAATAACAGCCTGTTGCGATCGAGATACATCAACCCCTTCTTCTAACCCATCTTCAACAGTTCCATTTCCTAAGATTTCCCTGATAACTTCTAATTCACCTAATCGTCCATCTAAAATGGACATTTGTGCTCCACCGGACATATCACATCTCGCACCACCCGTTGTATAAAAATCCAATAATTGTGAAATAACACTTTGTTGTTCATATAAAAGATCCTCAAGCTTCTCCAATCGTTCCCACATCTTAATATATTCCTGCGACAATAAATCCAAAGCTCTCCAGGCATACTTTAACTCAGTTTCGAGGATATTCAATCTCGTTCCTAAACGCTCCATGTAATCACTAATAACATAATCAACGTTCGAATCATAACTTTGTGTCATAGCTGGAGCTATACTGTTGGAATCTTCCATTGCAAAAACTCAAAAATTACGCAATTGGAGATAATGAAGATGTGGAAACACTCAACACTTTAACAATGAATTTAACGGATTGTTAAACATTTGAAATCGATTAAAACATTTAAAAATCGATAATTAAACATTTCAAATCGATAACATTGAATATAGAATATTTGTTTTTTTTGTAACTGATATGAAGTGAATGCGAAAAAGGTAAAAAGCGATATGTTAGCTTGATTTTTGTTCGTTGATGGAAACCCTTCTCTTCTCGAAGCTTTTTCTTTTTTGTGTTTTTTTAGGTGGCCGATTTGTGCTGATGACTCGTTGGAAAAATACCTCTCTCACGACCGTCACTAACTTTAGTCACTTTGGCGCGCATATTAATTCTATTTTCTTTTTTTTTACAAGACTCTTCTTCAAAATCTGGAATAGAAAAAGAAAAACTTTCCCTTAGACATTAAAAATAGAAACAAAATTTTTGTTATAACCGAGTATCCACCTCTAAAAAAAATTATAATGCTTTTTGCGATCTTTTTAACACAACCCCGGTATGGGTGAATAATAAATAAGGTCATGGTGGGGGTTGGTAACCTGGCGTTAGCTTAAATAGAAACAGGACATGAATGTGAAATTAGAACGGAAATGGCGCACAATGATTTGTCGCGATGTTTTCATTCAGATATCTGCTTATTCTGGAAAAACAAATTTATCTACCTCTAACCCAATTTGCTTCTAGTTACCACGACGTGCTTACACAAGTTTATAAACCTATCAAATATACAACAATATTTGCTTACGTAATGATAAGTAAACACACGTGTGCAAATTAATACATCTTCAGTTCAAAAATCTAATGATTATAGACATATGGGAGAATGTCTATAATTATTAGAAATCTTATTACTGATTTGCTTTAAAATGGTATTTACTATATTTTGATAGCTCAAATATAGGGTGGTCAATATAGTGGTCTTTTTAAAAGTTAAGAAAATGATGTTTATTCGAAAGAGCAAACATTCCCATGATTTATGGAACACAATTCCATTCATGTGGTTGCCTGGATGACAAAAATCGATTGTGGCATGGGCTGTGTGAAATCTGCTGAAACCAAAGATCGTCCAAGGCCATGTCTTCAATTTTCGGCAACAAAAAATCGTGTGCCTTCAATTGCTGAGTCAATTATGTTTGTGCAAAATTCTCAGGCTGGTGCGTGAAATGTTCGCACACTCTCGGCTACGGCAGCTACATTCTCCATCATCCACTAGTCCAGCATGCCAGTTTCACGAACTTTTTGCACTAACTTGCGTACAGCAAGTGCGGTGGGTGCATCATTTCGGCCAAAACTTCTTTTCAATAAACGCACTGTTTGGACTACACAACATTGACTTTGGAAATAAGTTTGCAATATTTTTCAACGCTGTCAAAATAACATAATCAAAAGAAAACATTACATGGACCACCTTTAAGTTTTGAGATATGATTATTCTTTGATATATTTTTGGTAATAATATATTTTCTTATGACACTGATATATGTCATTGGTTAAAATTTATTAGCGTTGGGAGTTAAGTGAGAGAGACGCAGTGAATGCATAGATAAGGGTAAATTGCGGAACGGACGGTAGCAGTACTAATACCGTTGCCGAGGGTTCTAATCAACTTAACCCCCGCAACGGGGGACTCATAACGAACCTTAACTCCGAATTTAAACCGGCCAAACACGATTCGACGTCGCGGCCGTTAATTTACCTAATCTATGGATAAATTTGATATCCTGATCTCGGCGTTGACTACTAATTAACCACAACATATAACACACACTTAATGAGAAAAAATATTGATGTAATAAGTATCCAAAAGTTGAAAAAATTGAGAGCTTTAACAATTTCGTACTTGTGTTTTTCAAATCCTTTAATATTACGACCTCCCAGTAGAAATTCCGCGTACATTTAATCTTTTTCCCAACCCATCAAAATTCCCTGGGGTACTGAAACGCAGGAAAAGAAGGATCGCAACTTAACACGACGTCGTCGTCGGCTGCGTCTTCTGCGACGAGACGAAAATCGATCCAGGCCGTTTGTTATTCAAATATTCTCGGGAAAAGTCGACGACGAAAATGCGGTGGTGATGCACATGAAGGGTGGAAAAGTGCCGGTTGGTGGCTGGTGGAAAAGACGATGGAATAAAAGCGCGAGACGCCTGGGGCCATATCCTTGGAAAATACGATGGATTCGAGTAGAAAATTTTCTAAAGGATACCTTATTGGCACTACACCTATAGTATCGAAGAGCTACATCAATTTTTTTTGGATCATCTTTATAATATAATTCAGTATAAATTGAAGCAACAAAAGAAATTTGTTTTATAATACTCCAAGGAGATTAAGAAGTATTCGATGAAAACATTTTAAAAATCCCGATTTAACTTTAAATTATTGGGGTTTAAACTTGCCCAACAAAACTTACCCCCCAGTTCTTAATAAATGAAAAAGTTCACGTAACTTGGAAGATTATTGATCGTAAGGTTTTATTACTTCTTTATACCTTGCATGTGGATTGATGTGGATTAAAGTAAATTACCCTTTTAAGAACAATAAAAAAGAAATAAATTGAAACGTTTACAACTTGAAATTTAATTAATAGTTTCCACGTTTTAACCGATTTTGAATGTTCTTCGAATCATAGTAAAAACGACGCGTTTAAGGATCGATTAAGAAACCGAGCAATTAGCACGACAGGAAGTCGCCCCCGTTATCTAAGCATGCAATCTAAACCGGAATCCGGGCGATGTTACACGAAGATACACAACCTGTTGGGGTAATCGACTAATTAACCTTTTGATTTCAATCCGAACCGTCATCGCAATTTTATCGTACAATTTTATATCTGTAAATTGATTCAACCCCATCATAAAGCTTTGTGTTCATACACAAATTTAACCTTTAATTTAATGTGATGAGTTGATAGAAAATTCGTATGCATACCAAGAAAATCAAAAACGTGAAATGGAAGTCATAGAATTTCCGTTCAACGCGACGTCGGAGAAATCTAGACAAATGGGAAAACATCAGAATCAGCGCGAGACAATTTTATTCTGGGACAGAATGGTGAGTGTCAGAGACATTTATTACCACCATATAAACCAGCTACTTCCAGTCACATTTTTCACTTTTTATACAACAAACGATATATTAAAAGGATACGAAAAAAATGTATATTTACTTTCAAATTTAACGATCAATTAAGCTTCGGTGATTGGAGTCGTTTCGAAAATAAATTCAAGGTTCAATATACATGCAAATGCGCTACCGCGCTTTTCAAATAGAACGAGTGCAGTGCGTGTGCAGGTCACCGCAAACGCATTTAGTACAAGTGCAGGAGTTCCAGTTTACTCCCCTCATACGAGGGTAAAGCAAACGAATGGAATTCTACATTATTAAAAGTTTTTGGTCGATACGAAAGCAACTGAATCTCAATCACTGTGTAAACACACTTTTTTAAATTGTTTCGTACAGATTTGCTTTGATTGACAAAGTTTGATCGCAACGTAAGTTGTACGTAATTAAAGCTTTCGTCTAATTATGTTAATTTAAAAGGTGTTATTGCTCTTTGTAGACATCCAATTATAAATTTTTAGTTATTTGCATTTATACTCCATTCTTGTATTAATATTATCTGCTGAAATAGTTTTTAAGTCTCTCATTCATGAAAAAATCAATTCGAACTCAATCATGCTGCATGAAGATCTATCCCAAAATAATTCACTTTTCTCTCTTTTTGTTACAGAAGATTGCAGAAGATTAAACATTGATGGCAGAAGTCTAAATTCTGCTAATAGAATAATAGAAGCTCGCTATATGGAAGCCACTATCTGTAAAAGACTAAATATTGATAAAAGACAAAATATTACTAATAGAAGATAGATACTGAATCTAGATACTACGTGCAGAAGATTGTTTACTGCTTACACAAGNATTGTTTCGTACAGATTTGCTTTGATTGACAAAGTTTGATCGCAACGTAAGTTGTACGTAATTAAAGCTTTCGTCTAATTATGTTAATTTAAAAGGTGTTATTGCTCTTTGTAGACATCCAATTATAAATTTTTAGTTATTTGCAATTATGCTCCATTCTGCTGCAATAGTTTTTAAGTTTTTCATTCATGAAAAAATCAATTCGAACTAAATCATGCTGCATCACTACATTCAGCTATAGCGAAATGTATATTGGTCGTTTATAAAGATCTATGCCAAGATAATTCACTTTTCTCCCTTTTTGTTACAGAAGATTGCAGATTAGACATTGATGGCAAAAGTCTAAATTCTGCTAATAGAATAATATTACACTATTTGGAAGCCACTACCTGTAATAGACTAAATATTGATAAAAGACAAAATATTACTAATAGAAGATAGATACTGAATCTAGATACTACGTACAGAAGATTGTTTACTGCTTACACAAGATTATATATTGCTACCAAAAAACAAGATACTGCCAATTGAAGACTAGATATTGCTTGCAGAAGACTATTTACTACTTATTTAGAAAACTGGACACAGCTGACAGAAGACTTACTTATTCCATTTAGGTTCGATGCTTCAATCTGGCTTTATAAAATGAAAAAAGGATCTAGATCAACATTTTGTACTTAGTTTCTGGTGGGTGGCAGAACTAAACTTCTGCTTCTTAGCAGCACAAATAGAGGAGTTTACCATTGTTATTGACAGTTTGATATCACATAATCTACATGAAGCAAAATCCAATTATAACGTTGAACAATATTTCCAAAGTGGTCGGAAATCATTTTAGTGAATCAATTACATCACCAATTAACTAAGAAAATGTTTTGTACACCATATGTATGTTTACTTTTACTATTGGGATAATGATAAAGTTATCTTAGCAGTAGTAGTAGCTTTCTTATCTTTTTTTCTTGTTCTACGAGACGCTATAAGGAATTGTTTCATCGATCGGAAGTAGTTTCCGGTGAAATATCGCCCGGAACACATCGAACTTGGGTGGTGTTTTAAGTAGAATGACGCTCATGAGGAAGAACTCTCGTGAGAGAGATAATACATACTGACTGTTTTTAAATTGGCTTTACTGAAGCGGAAATCCGGCCGTACACGGGAAACTATTGCTGACAAGGGAAGCGACAAGTCCCGTAGACAGAGCTGCAGGCAATTTAAATGTAAATGGTGCCTAACGTTGCTGCTCCTGCTGCTGCTACGCCTGCTACCACTCGGTTGTAGGGAGGAAAGGTCAACAGTGTCTGGTGGACGTTGGTTTACTGAATCGTGTGGTTTTAGCTGCTGCTGCCATAAACTCTCGGTTGGGAAAATATCGACACGGACGCGGAAAATCCGGAACTGCATCAAAACCTGTCAAAGGTTAATGTAAAATCGAAGGGCATATTCGAGATTAGCCCGATTACGTTTTACTATCGAAAGCATGTTACCTTTTGGATGTCGGACATAAACCATCCGGGTAATTTGCCAAGAGAAAAGGAGATAAGTTATTATAAAAACGTTTTATCTGCTTTAAAACCCATATTTCATATTTAAAAAAAAAAATAATAGAATCTAAATTTATGAAAATTTAATTTAGACAGAATTAAAAACAAAATAAACGTATTGTTTTTGAAATCAAAATCCCCAAATATTTTCTATTTGCATTTTGGTTAACAAATAAAATACAAAAAGAGAAATCTAAATTTGAATTTCACTCAAACAAGAGAAACGAAACTATGGCTAAAAAAGCCGTATCCACTGCATGCGAAATTAGAATTATTCATAAACCTTTTGCACATCGTCATGTTTTCACGTTCTATTTTAAAAATTTAAAACGAGAAAAAAATCTTTAACGATACAAAAAGGTGCTTGAAAAATCGAAACATCGTTTAATGGGGCAATTAAAAAATTTATTTTGTTCTATTTCTCGTGCTCAATATAAAATCCAGCTATTATGCAAAAAATTACAAAGGAACACGTAGATGCTCGATGAAAAGCAGAAAATGAGGAAATGCAATCCAACGAGACCCAAGGTTGCAGAGGAGGTCTTTTTCTAAAAACGGAAGGGCGTCGTTCCGAATGGATAAATAGGGTTAACGCTCCACGAAAATCGATTGAAACTGGCGGGGGTCGGTAGTATTTTTACCTCTCGCCTCTGACGACGACGACGACCGACAGTGAAGAAGGGAAACAGGTGGGTTTCCGCCCACTTTTTCATTATTAAACGGTTGTATCTCTAGTCCCTTTAACGAATTCTTCAATAATTTAAAGGAAAAATGAAACATACATATTTATACAGATATTTGCGTAATAAAAAATGGAGGGGATGAAAGAACGATGTAGGAACGTAGGAAGGGGAAAGGAAAAGTCGAACGCAAAAGGCGTCCGTGGCCAGCTTCACAGCTCTGCAACGATCTCACGTGGTCATCCGGAAAACTCAAGTGCTTTCCTAGATGCCAGAGGTGAGAGATTCCTTTTTCAGGCGCCATTTCGCTGGACCAGCAGATTTTTAGGACGAGCTAGGCGAAAGGAACGCAAGTCTAATCTCGTATGGGTAACAGGATGGGCTCTTCGATTTTTCCCGAAAGGTATATTAGATTATTTTATATTCTAGACTTGATTCGTACACATGACATTTCCCAGTATTGACACATTGAGAGAGAAAAAAACATTTTCAGGTTTAGAAATCGTTAAGAATTCGTTTTATAGGTTATCTTTTACACTGAATGAAGAAGTGGATTTGTGCGAAAAAGGAAGCCGATTTCGGAGAGAGAGATGAATCGCAAAATTGTGAGCGTTTGTGCACGAGAATCGATCTTACGTGCTTTCGGGTTCTCGCATCACACATCAATATCCCCCCAACACGAATGAATTCCTGGCCCTTTTATTCGATTTTTACTAGTAGGTAGCGACCCCGTTCTCTCAAGGGGTTTAATCAAAACGAAGCCACAATCGCACAGCAGAACTTTGGGAATTTGCTAACGTTGCTTTTTCTGTATAATACTTAACCAGACCGAAAAGACCGAACGTTTTTTTTTTCTCGCTTCTATGCCGTCTTTAAACATTAAACTAGAACTTCGCTAAAAGAACAAGACTTCCTTAAAACAGTCCGACGTACTTTAAAATTTAAAAGGATCCGTGTGTTTGGAATATTACACGAAACTTGTTTAAAATCTAAGAGTCTGGAGGAAAGACGCTTGGAATATAAACCTTAATGAGCTTCTTTAATTAAATTTTCACAACGCAGGAAGTCATAAAAATGCGCTGTCTAAATACTTTCAAGAAAATTTATTGCTAATTTGTTAGTCAAAAGTTTTTAAACATCATCAATCTAAATTTAATAATGACATTAAAAAAAATCATATCTCAAGAACTATTTCAGATATCATGATGAAAGATATTGTATTTTAAAGATAATTTAATCTAGTTTTGGTGTACTAAATATGTTTTCTTAATTTCCTTTGATCTGAACGCGATGATTTTTTGAATCTAACTCTGCGTACTTGATAATCATAAAGATTGTGAATCTGAATACAACATTTAAAAAAATAGTATTTTGAGAACTAATCGAGATATCGTGATGTAATAAACACCATTTTAAAGCAAATTTAATTTAGTTATGTCTCAAATAGGCGTTCTTAATTTTCTTTTATTCGGTCGTTATGATTTTTTGAAGCCAACTCGGCATGATCGATCAACGGATATTTAAAAAATTGTATCTCAAAAGTGAATTAAGATATCGTGATGAAACTAATAACACTTTAAAGCAAATTTAATCTAGTTTTGATGTTTTCAATATAAATTTTTAATTATTTTGGTTGATATGATTTTTTAATACAACCCTGTACATTAATGATACAACAAATAAGATTAATTATGTCAAATCGTTACATATAATAGTTAACTTTTTATTACACTGTTTGTATTGTTGGAAATTGATTCTACGAAAATATTTTAAACTCCGAAATTTACAATTTCTGTCTTTGTTGGGGTTTTAAAAGTTTCGAGGCGGCACAAACTTCGAACGGAAAGTTTTACTTCCGTTTGTAGGGAAATCAAATCAACGAATTGATTCCTGTCGATTCAAATGAGAAAGAAGTTCAAAGTAAGAATAGTATCCCTGGCACCAGATTTCAATCTGCATTATTTTTGATTATTTCCAACGAGTAGATTGAAAATTTGCAAATTGCTGGTTTATTTATTCGGAGTTCAAAGTTTAACTTGATAAATTTTAGAAATGATAATATTTTGTAAGGTAACTGTATACGATGTTGATCTCTTCAATCCCCCTTTCCTCTTCTATTTACCAGAACACAATGTTTTTACGACATATTTACTGTGGGGTTACCCTTTTTCGTTCCTCAAACATCTCAAGCGTTCGATATTTTATTCAAACAGACTTTTTCCCTTCACATTTACGGGATTTCTCAACGATAATGATGTTTAAAGCTTTTTGTGACTTTTTACAACTTTGAAAAGAACAACAATAGAAACTTTCTATATATGAATAAAATCAATAAATTTATTTGCAATTTAATTGATAAAGTTGGGGAAAGAAGGCCATATATTAAAACGCATTACAACCGCGGTATTGATTTTACCATTTGCAGCGGTAGATAATTTAAA